AAGATTAAGAGTGTCCGCTAACAAAATTTTCATGAGAGAAACTCAAAGCGATCATTAACCAATGAGGAGTAACTTATGCAAAATAAGAGAGCCTTTGCCTGGTTTGCCAATTCTTATTTTTAAAATATTTAAATTTTGTGATATTTTAAAAGAAGAGGCCGGACAGAAGCACCATATAGAAAAAAGAAAAAAATATTCTCTGTTGCCTGAACAAAGCTTTATTCGAGCTCAAAAGTTTCCGGTTACAAAGACTACAAAGTAATCTTTGGCAATTGGACGGGATTGCAGCCGGGAACTATTTCAAACTAAAAAAAAAAACGTTGCTTAAAATAACGAGTTTGAAGTTCAAAGAGATTAACAAAATGCTCGCAATGAATATAATAAACGAGAGAAAGTAATGATGATCATTCGAAGAACTCTGAATTGTTTCAATTCGTTTTTACAACACTTCTCTTTAACTTCACTTCTTGTTTGTTTGTCTGCCACAAATCTTATAATCAAAATTTAACACACTTCTACTTATCCTGTCGATCTGAAATTTTGCACACTTGTGTAAAGTTGGAGACAATGCATGAATCAATTAACAAAATAGATAATCTTAATAAGTCAAAAAAAATTTTTCCAGTATTAAAAATTTGAAAAAATCATTTTGTCAGATACAAATCTTATAATTGATATTTAACACACTTTTACCTGTCCAATTGATCTGAAATTTTGCATACTTGTGTGAAGTCGGAGGCAATGCATGAATGAATTGACACAATAAATAATTTCGAAAAAAAAATTTATTTATTGAAAAAATTGAGAAATTAATTTTTTAATATTTGAAAATAAAATTAGAAATATATTGTACATATGTAACATTAGAGACACTGGATTCTTTAGAAGTGTTGTCGTTAAAAAGTAATTTTTAAACGTATATTATTATCATTTATTTTCTACCTGAACTCTGAAGTTTAAAACAGTTTTTTATAAATCGTCTTCTGGGGCTACAGGCCACTAATTTCAGTCTTTAATTTAGTATTTATTTCATTTTAATCCTTAATTATTTTAATCGGTATAAACTTTATGGTACACGTTTACTATTTATGCGAAATTTTTAGGAGGATTAGCAAAGTACCGAATCGACAGTTACTGATTCGGTTGTGTTGCGCAAAATTGTTTGTTTTTTTCGTTTCAATCAAAATGAAAGAACGTAAAAATCGGCAATAATTCTTGTCGCGACGCATTGCTAATAATTAAATGCTTACCGAATCTAAAAGCAGATCCATTCAGGATTAAATTATTTGAGATTTGTTCAGCCGCGCAGAAGATATTTTTTCGTTTTCAGGATTTTGCTGCCGAGTTCGCGGTTGAGACCAAAGAAATTTCGATTCACTTTGATTTTTTATTTTCGCTGGTTATTTTGTTCAGAATTTACAAATTTTTCATATCTTTTTCAAAAGGTCTTTCTGGACCATGAGGCAGAGGATATTTTGCGGAAGAAATTTAAGACGAATCTGCTCGTAATATATGAGGTTATTAAGCGTTATTATTATTTCGCTAACTTGACGTTAAAGCCGTTAATGTTTTTAAAGTGTATACCTGTTTTACTAAATATTTATAGAGTATTGTGATTCTTCAAAATGCCATCAGAGACAATCGTAATAATATGTAAACATTCGAATAATAAAACTTCGAACAAGTCACACATTAATCTTGGCTCGAAGAGATTACCGAATATCCCAATATGTGAAAAGCAAATAGTAATCGAAGTTTGTGTCAATGTTTTTACCGGCCGCGCAATTTAGTTGAAAGATTTACTATTGAAGAAGAGCGACCGGAAGAGCTCGGGATCAACGCGCCCGCCCCCAAGTTTAGCTTAACGATGAAAGGTTAGAAATTGAAATGGCTTCGGAAAATCCCGCCAAACTAGATTAAAATTTTGCAATTGGTTAAAGACGCGAAACTAAATAATTCTCTAACATCAGTAGTAACTTGAAATAACTCCATGTGAGTTACGTGATGAAATTCAGTTTGATTTCCATAACTCCAGCTGGGGAGCGACTTACCGTAACATCAGTTGCTTCACCTGTCACAATATCAGCAGAGCCATTTACTGTGTCACCATTTCGGAGGACTGGGAGTTGGGCTCAATATCTCTTCAATGAGCCTTAAAATGCGCAGTTCCATCGACCCTGGAAAGTTTTCTATCTGTTCCTCTAACCATGAAGGAATTACCAAACCTCTTTCTAGAATAGATTTTGTAGATTTAGGCTACATGATTTGAGGTGGGATAATTTCTTCTGGATTTCATCCAATACTCGACGAGCTGCATTTGCAATCGCGGCTTGAAAAGTTCTCATTAGAACACTAATGAGAACTTAAAAACTTAAACAAGAACTTAAACTTAATTTCTATCGTCAATTTAATTTCCTAAGTTTAAGTTCACTCTAATGCTTCTTAAGACTCTGTGTTTGATATTGAGGCAATGAAAGATTTCATTCAATACTCTTTTAAGGCAGTTGAAACCAGATTAGTCACATTTAATAAAAAAATGTACTCGATAAGATCAATGCCCTGAAGCTGTTCGGGAAGGAAAATATTAACAATTTTTTTTTCAGACTTTTGAAGTTATGGGTCAATTTAAAGTTGCATTAGTTTTAATAATTTGCAGCATATATGAGACTGATAGCTATAAAAAATTTTTATTAATCCTACCAAATAAGTGCAAATGTTTCAGGCTCTTACTTTCTTAATTATTTGTGTTATTTCGAAATGAGATAGAATTCTTTTGCTTTACTACGAATAAAACACACGGAATAGAGTAGTTCTTAACATATCACAGGAAGTAAGTTTCATTTGGGTTATGGTGTATATGAAGTATTTCACCTCACTAATAAAAATTATTCATGATATTAGAATGAATTTGTATAACATGAGGCTCAATGTCACTGCCCATCCTCAGCCATTTTGACCAGGTGCTGTCGAGTGTTTATATAGTGAGTAGTTTTACGGACCATTTAACTCATTGGCGCTAAATAATTTCATTAAATTAATCATATTTTAAATTAAAATTCATTGAAAAATTCATTAAAATACCTCACTTTAGGTATGAGCGCGATTGAATTTAAGTGCACTGATGAATAAATTTAATATATTTTACAATCTTCGATAAATTATTATGATCTACAATCGCAATAAATAACGTGAATTGTTGTGGCATTTTTATGCTTGAGATCTAAAATGTTTCGAAAACGCTGGAACTAAGCGAAAAAGCGGATATCCGAATTTAAACATTTTATTTCAAATTTCCCAACAATCATTTTTCTTCAGAGACACTCTAAGATCGATGACGAATCGCTGCAATTTTTTCCACAGCTTTCTTAAAAACTTATGTTGTTAACTATAGAGCTATTAATTGGCAGGACAAAGCTGGGATGATCACATTGAAATTTATTTTTTATTAATTTTTTTTTAGTTATTTTTAGTTATTTGTTTTGAGGATTTTATTTATTTTTTTTATAATTGATCCTCAAAACAAATAACTGGTAAAATTTAGTTGAACGAACGAAGTATCTCGTCTGATTTAGATAAGCTAAAAGGGATTGGATTGAAGGATACCGTTCACTACAACATATTGTACATTTCCATGGCCTACATATAAGTTGAAGCAAGCAAACTCCTGTGTTGTAATCGTAGCTATACTTCCGTATTGCACCTAAAAATATCTCATTTATATTTGACAGACTTACAAAATCGCATTCCAAATTCGTTTTACCCTCTGTTCGGGACGCATTGGCGCATTTAAATTGTAGTTTTTTTTTATTTTTAGTTAATAAATTATATAATCAGTACATTTCTCGCTTTCCCATCATCATTGTTATGATGGCTGAGCAAAGAGGAATCCCCAGATTTCAAACTTTATTTTAGAAGCAAAGATTGGAGCTAATATAGATGGAACCCATCAACTTCTCCAAGTTATTTTGTTCAGTTCTATAATGTATTTACTAGTGCCTGTCATATATGTGCATAGAATTTCTAACTCATCTTTAAAATACGATCGATAAATCTGGTCTTTTCTGCATTCGCAATGTAAAAATAATCGTTTATGGACGAAAATATTTTGGTCTTGTGCTGTCGTTGCGACGCCACTCCTGCCCGGATCGATGCCAGGCAGGCAATACGTTGTTATCGTCCAGAATATTTTGAAGGAAAACATGCAGGATGTTCAAGGATCTCTTATATGCAACCCAGTGGTGACATACTAACGAAAAATGTACAAATGACAGGATATTTGAGAGTCTTCTCCTAGTTTGTATGCAAAAAATATGCAAGCCTAACAATTTTGTGCGCTTGGATGAATGTGTTATAGTGGAAACAGGAAGGAATACGTGATTTAAAGTGTTGGAAAAATAAATTTTCACAGGAAATAATGAGACACAAATGGTTGAAAGTTACTCAAATACTTGACCTAAAGACAAGCATCATTCAATGAAGATGCTATTTCACCTCAAATAGACAGAAATAGCCAGTTGCTTTAATTAATTTAATACCTCAAATTTATTACTTCATCTGCGAGAATCAATTATTGGTTGTCTGTTTTTTTTTCAAATCTCGTGAAATTGACTCTGAAATTGAACTACACTACAGACGACTTACTGCCTCGAACTCGAAAATCTTAATGAAATATTGATTGCTGCTGATATATTGCGAGTGTCTTCTGTTGCGTTAACTCGTTGGTGAACTCGTTCCTGCGTCAAGATTTCAAGATTTAGCATTTAAGCAAGAGTTTCATGCGTTGTAAAGACTGGCTTACTCAGATTAATTCATTGGTGAATATGTACTCCCTTCCGCACCAGGGTCGAGCATGTGAGCGAGTGTCTCGCGCGTCGTAAAGACTGGCTTACTCAGGTTAATTCATTGATGTACTCACTTCAGCACCAGGGTCGAGCATGTGAGCGAGAGTCTCGCGCGTCGTGAAGACTGGCTTACTCAGGTTAATTCATTGATGTACTCACTTCAGCACCAGGGTCGAGCATGTGAGCGAGAGTCTCACGCGTCGTGAAGACTGGCTTACTCAGGCCGCCTCGCGTTGCTGGGCTGAAGAAATAAAGCGATCGTCCCGCAACTTTCGTTCTGGTGGCAGAAACATTTTTGTTGATGAAATGTGGTTCTACATTCGCTGAAACCTAAGCATTTTTAGACGTTTGTTCCATTGAATTCATAGAGGATAATAGAATAGATACTATTTTGGTTGAAAATGAGCGTCATTGAATACGAGGAGATTTCCATTCAATCGCCGCTAACTAAAGTGCACAATTCATTAGGAAACCATTTTTTCGCAATTTTATGCAATTTATCTGCAAACGAATAAATAAATAAACGCTCTAGAAAAAAAGCCATCGAGTTCGAGTTAAAGTACCGTGAGTTTACCTGTGACTGAAGACAACGTGCTCAGTAGTGATGTGACGAGGGTAGAGATAGGCTCTCAGCTGGTACTTGTATGGACTGACATTTATGATGGATACAGGTGGTCGGATACCAGCTGGACTACAGGTGGTACCACTACAGGTGATAGTGGTAGTGCAGTTGGTTGTGCTTGTAGTCGTCGTCGTGCTGTTTGTCTGCCGACTCCGTGAATTGTTGTTAGAGTCGTTCTTTTTCTGACAAGGAGATGAAGTGGAGGCGTTGCTGGAAGACATGGCTGCGTTCATGCGTGAAGTGGAGGATGAGGAAGGTGAACTAATAGGAGGCGAAGATGAGAAAGGAAAAATGGGAGCCAATTTAGGAGACCCTGGTGGGGAGTCCGAAGAAAAGCTGCGGTTCGCCGAGATGATACTCGAGGCTTTCATCAGGAGACTCTCGTAAAGGTTCGACGGAGACGCAACAGTTGACGCCGCGGCTCCGGACGGTTCTTGGCACGTGGTACCGTTAGCTAGCGCCGTGACCGGAGTAACTGCTCCCGAGCTCTCGGTACTGTGGAGCGGTACCGGCATGGAGCACGGGAGCAGAGTTGGAGATTTGAGAGAAGGCTGGTAAGGGTTGTAGTTATTCTTGGGGGAAAGAGATGGGTTGTAGCTTGTGAAAACCCCGTGCCTTGGAGAGGCAGGCGGAGTGAGGGCCTTGTTTGATGGGACTTGGCTTGACGAGGGTGGGAAAGAGACCGTGGGGTTCATTGACCCGAGAAACGACATCGCTCATGATCTGCAAAGTGTATTTATAATAAATTTATGTGATATATTATTTTATTTTTTAAAATATGTAGTTAAAATATGTTGAAATATGCCTTAAGATTTTTCAATATAAAGAATATTTTCCAATCGATAATTTGATGATAATAATTAATTCTTGAACTAAACGTTAGAGACAGTTTGCTGCTCCGTTCACGTAACAGAAATAGAAATGGAAAATTATCGTATTATCAGAGCTAATTTGTTGGCGTTATCGTTAGTTTAACCCTTGAGTGCTGGCGATTATCGGCATAAATTATAGTATAATATGCATGTTTAACAAAATATTATTTTTTCGTAAGAAGGGGTATGATATAATAATTAATGAGGAAGATACGTAAACAGATTTATCATTGAGGTTCATAATGATTGAAAGCTTATTAGTAAACAGTAAACAGGCACACTGCCAATATCGTATTGGTTCATGCAATATATGGCATAGAAGTGTTATCAGTGTGCGAGAGAGCAAATTTGAAAAAAAATCAACGGAGAACTTTCACCACATTTAATTTACTACCACACATTTTCATATGACACACATGTAAGAAAGCCATCATAAATTTTTGTTGCACCGCTAATATAGAATTTTTTCACAAAGATTTCAACATGCTCAAGGTATGAACGTCAAGCCATGCCAAAATATGTTGCTAGATTTGCGCTTCGGCTGTTGCTTTCGACATTTTGGGTCGGCAGGGATTTTCAATCAGGCCGAAAGCCGGTCAAGTGACAGTAAAAGCAGTCACAAATGTTTTTTATAGATGCTTCCAGATGAAAAAACGCGCACCAAACTTACTTCAACTGTAACTCAACGATGGAAATCATGCTTTTTCAATACGTGTTGAAAGCTTTTCTACGTAGCGTCCTTCATTTTGTGATAAAACGTAATGCTATAAACAGCGATGTTGTTGCGTTAATTTCTTCAGCTTCGAAATGAAGTAGCAATTTATTATGTGAAAATTCATCATCCCATAAAAAAGTTTTCTGGTAGGATTTACAACCGAATACGCGTAAAATTGTGCAAAAATTAATCCTCGAAATATTGCAATGCTTTTATTCTATTCATACAATTGAAAGGAGAAAGTATACAATTTTTGCAACTCCGTTACAAAAATTTCTAAAAGAAGACAATCCAGATTGACAAGTTTAATTATTTATATAATACTATCATCTCTGAAAAGAGCTGAAGAATGACTCGACATAATGAGCCTGATAATCCATCCCATTGTTTTTCATTGCTTATAGAGACTGAGTTGAGGTAACGATTTCAAAAAACTTAGAAAGTTTTTCGAAAAAACACTGATGCATGTTTGAAGGAGATGAGTATAAAGTACCAAAAAATTCAAGATTTTGAATTCTCACACAGATTGATAACCTCGCAATAAACAGTGAACTAAATAATGAAATTTTTTTGTTAGTGAGCGATTAAATTTTTTACATTCACTCGTACAGAGTTATTTATATTCAAAATATATTATATGTGTTCAAAGTATATAATAAATATGTTGAAGTTCATCAAGAAACTATAACTTCCAGTAAAAATTAAAATTTCGACGTTGGTAACAAGATTTAAGAGTAATTTATTGAGAGATTTTTTTTCTTAGGAAATAATTTTAATGAAAAAAAAAAGATTTCCAGGTTTAAGCCAGCGCCCATAAAGTATTGCCGGGATAAAGCCATCAAGGCTTCATTTGGGACCAGAGCCACTGGGAGAGTCCGGAGATGAACGTTGAAAAATGCTTGGACAAACTTGATTTAAGGCAGGACGAAAAATGCTTGGGTGAATATTGACTAGAATCTTTTCGCATGGAAAAAATATATAATTAACTTCTAGAACTATTTTAAATGGCTTTTGACGACTACTTGAAATTACGAAAACCTATTTACTTTTTGAAAATAAGAATAAGCTGTTAATTTGAAAGCGTCAGCAGACGTTTGATGGAGCAGTAGGAATGAATTTGATGGATCAAATATAAAAAAATATAACTCAGTACTCACTGCAGTGAGTGACAGAGAGCGCATTTCTCGTTTCGGACGGACAGACAGACGGACGGACGGACGAACATTACGAGCACAATAGCGCCTTTTTTCCGCAAATGAAAAAATGCGCTAAAATGTAGGAAGCGAAAAATAATTTTGGCAGCCTTCTTATTGTTGTAACTCGCGATTATTGAAAATTGTACGTCGAAGAATAATAGTGGTTGGACTTTGTTTGCAGATTCTCATTTAAAAATTTAAGGCTCAAGAATTTGCTTGTAATTCCAATTTATAAAACAGAGCTCCACTTGACGTTGTTGTCGACTTATCTCACGACTGAGTAGAGGCAATAGAGCAAAATATAAATAAAAATTATTTTTAAAAATTCAGTTATTGACCTCGCGTACAGGAAGAAGCAGATAAATAGATTTATTTATAGCAAAGCCGGTCATGAGCTCAAGAGCTTGCTCGGAATGCACGAGCCCATGTACGTGTTGTGTCACAGTGCCCGCTAGAGTTTGTCAATTTTTCTCTAAATCAAAATGTTATTTGTTACGGGAAAATATTTTTCATTCAACTACTTAATGAATGATTGTATTCATTAAATTGTTGAATTAAGCATTCATAAGTGAAAATGTTGCCTGCACTAGTTTGAGCTCAGTTTGAATCTCATTTTCCTTCCAATTTAATTGAACAGTTCCGCAACTCTTCGTGTCGTCAGAAATAAATATCTTAAGGAAAATTGCTTATCCGAGAAAGGATCTTAGAATTATCATAAACTTCTGCCCTGTTCGAGGATTAATTTTCAGCGCCAAATAATGTTAATAATTAATTGATGGTCTCCGCTAGAGCATATATTTTTCACAAAGTAAAGGAAGGGTGATCTAGTTGCGACGAAACATTTTAATTAAGTTTATGCATCCACAGAATTTTCATTGAACGCTCATGTTTGTGTGCCGGATTACATCACAAAGAATTTATTTACAAGCAACCAGCAAGGCTTAGCGACGGCTGGCTTACTTTCATCAGCATACCTTCCTCTTGCAGCCTAGCTGTCTTGATAACCTTGACATGAAAATAAATGAAAGCGATGAAAGCGACAAGTGCTAATTACTTGGTTAAGATGAGGCGCGTCACCGACTGAAGTATTGGCGCCCCAAGTGCTAATTAGACGCACGTGACAAGAGAGCTGTCAAGCCTTGCACCTTCTACTTACGCTATGGCCTATTAAATCTAAACTCGTAAATTATTAATAAACGTGCGCTGCTAGCTTTGTAATACAATTGGTAACATAACATGTTATCTAGTTCATTGTTTACAAAATCACAAAAAAATAAATTAGGAGTTTATATTTTAGGGAAACTTATGCTCCATTTTCATACTAGTCCATATATAATAATGAGTGCCGGCTCATGATCATTCGGGAACATTTTTATTATTCTTGAGACGACACACTCAAATATTGCAATAAACTAGCAAATGAGCGATGATTCTTATTTAGCCT